AAGGCGGGCCTCTCCAGTAGTTACATAAAGGTAGACTTAGCAACGATCACCTCACTACATGATAAGGTAGATGGAACCACGATCTGTGCTCATCCAACAACTAAACAATTCTTAAAGGGCGTGACCAACATCTACCCTCCCCCAAAACACCCTACTCCTATATGGAACCTTAACCTCGTGCTACGCACCATCATGGGGAAACCATTTGAACCCCTTGCAACTAGCTCACTGCTACATCTATCGATGAAGGTCTCCTTCCTTTTCGCAATCACTTCAGCAAGAAGAGTAGGGGAGCTAGGGGCCCTAATGGCACACCCACCGTATACCACATTCCATAAAGACAGTGATCCTAAGACCGCACCCTAAATTTATACCTAAAGTAGCCTCTTCATTTCATTTAAACCAACCCATTTACTTACCTGTGTTTTTTCCGAAACCCCATGCCGACGCCAGGGAGGTATCCCTTCACACTCTTGACGTCTGTAGAGCTCTGGCCTTCTACCTAGAAAGAACAAAGACATTTAGAAAATAGTCACGTCTCTTTCTCTTGGTCACAGAGCGATCGAAGGGTGAGGCCATCTCTAAACAAAGACTATCTAAGTGAATTTCTGGCTGTATCCACTTGTGCTATCATCAGAGCAACATCCCTGCTCCACCTGGGATTTGTACGCACTCCACCAGAGCGCTATCCACGTCAGTAGCGTTCCTCAACAATGTACCTATCGTAGACATTTGCAGACCAGCTACCTGGGCCTTGGCCCACATGTTTACCAAAAATTATGCCCTGGAACAACATTCCTCTCCCGACACTCAGTTTGGACTCTCGGTGCTATCCACCATCAACAAAGATACTCCGAAGCCCCACCTTCCATTGGGAGGTACTGCTCCATGGTCACCTAAAGTGGAGCACCCACAGGGACGCTCCTAGAAGAGGAGGAAGAAGAGAAGGCTACTCACCTTGTGCAGTAACTGAGTTTCTTTGAGATGGTTGTCCCTGTGGGTGCTCCGCTAGCCTCCCTCCTTCCCTCTACTTCGGAGTTTCATGCTGATTCTCTGGGGTAGAGAAGGAACCAAGGGACAGTTGGCTATGCATGCTAACTGGCCACTCAGAGTCGCGTGAGACGAATACCGCACGTGTGTGGCCACCCGGGACGCTGCTACTACAAATCTCCGATTACAAGCGCAGGGCGCCAAGACACCTAAAGTGGAGCACCCACAGGGACAACTATCTCGAAGAAACTCAATTACTGCACAAGGTGAGTAACCTTCTCTTTCTACAAGTGTAATGAAGGACAGAATACACTGGTCTACAATTTTTGAGAAATCGTCTGCTTCAGAGATAAAATGTGCTATTTATTATGTATTTTGATGTGCTGAATTCAAATATGACAATTAAAACAACTGATTGGCTACTGTTTCTAAGATATTTAAGTTTTTACATTTTATGTCTATGTATATTGTGTAGATAGTAGAGTTTTAATCATAAATTGTAAACCTAGGTCTTTTCATGTGTTTATGGTTGCTTTACATGATACTTCACCTGTCCTGTTTATGTAACACTTTAAAAATCAGCAAAAGGGTTATATAAATAAAATTTATTATGAAACAAAAGGCAAAAAACTATTATGTACATAGTTTAGTCCTATTCAGTGTCTACTCGGCGCTTCTTGGCTTGTCTCTTGTATTCATTAAATGGAGCATCTCTTGTCACTGTCCAGCAATAGTCTGCAAGCATAGATGGGCTCCATTTGCCCTCATAGCGTTTCTCCATTGTTGCAATGTCCTGGTGAAATCGCTCGCCGTGCTAGTCGCTCCCTGCTCCGCAGTTCGGTGGAAAAAAATCTAGATGAGAGTGCAAAAAATGTATCTTTAGTGACATGTTGCAACCAAGGCTTTTGTATGTGGTGGATGCTGAACACTTTTCCTCCAGGCTCCAATGACTGTCGGAGTGGCCAATCTTTCTTGATGTAGTGGGAATCACTTGCACGACTATCCCATTCGCAGAGAAAACAGCAGTACTTTGTGTATCCAGTCTGCAGACCAAGCAAGAGAGCAACAATCTTCAAATCGTCACAAAGCTGCCACTGATGTTGGTCATAGTTTATGCACCTCAAAAGTTGTTTCATGTTGTCATAGGTTTCCTTCATATGGACTGCACGACCAACTGGAATTGATGGCAAAACATTGCCATTATGCAGTAAAACAGCTTTAAGACTCGTCTTCGATGAATCAATGAACAGTCTCCACTCATCTGGATTGTGAACGATGTTGAGGGCTGCCATCACACCATCGATGTTGTTGCAGGCTACAAGATCACCTTCCATGAAGAAGAATGGGACAAGATCCTTTTGACGGTCACGGAACATGAAAACCCTAACATCACCTGCCAGGAGATTCCACTGCTGTAGTCTGGAGCCCAACAGCTCTGCCTTACTCTTGGGTAGTTCCAAATCCCTGACAAGGTCATTCAGTTCACCTTGTGTTATGAGGTGTGGTTCAGAGGAGGAGGATGGGAGAAAATGTGGGTCCTGTGACATTGATGGTTCAGTACCAGAAGTTTCATCCTCTTCCTCTTCCTCGTCTGACTCAAGTGAGAGTGATTCTGGTGCATCAGGAACCGGCAGTCCTTCTCCGTGGGGTACTGGGCGTATAGCTGATGGAATGTTTGGCTAATGCACAGTCCACTTTTTCTTCTTTGACACACCTTTCCCAACTGGAGGCACCATGCAGAAGTAACAATTGCTGGTATGATCTGTTGGCGCTCTCCAAATCATTGGCACTGCAAAAGGCATAGATTTCCTTTTCCTGTTCAACCGCTGGCGAAGATTTGTTGCACAAGTGTTGCAGCATATGTGTGGGGCCCACCTCTTGTCCTGATCTCCAATTTTGCAGCCAAAATAAAGGTGATAGGCTTTCTTAACCATAGTGGTTATACTGCGCTTTTGTGATGCAAAAGTCACTTCACCACAAACATAGCAGAAGTTATCTGCACTGTTCACACAAGTACGAGGCATCTCTGCTCACTTTGGCTAAACAGAAATGTGTCCCTTTGCAAAATCAAACACTGACAAATAAGAGAGCATGACACTGTATGATTTCTAGAGCTGATATAGGGCAATTTGTTCAGCAGAGTGATGTAAGCTTCGTTATGATTACATCATCCATGACTTCTAGGAATAACATGATGCAATTCCTATCATGTATGACGCAATACCAGCTTCAGATTGCATCATTCATTGTTTTGCCTAAAAAGGAAGTACTGTCCAAACCCAGTCATAGATTTATTCATAGATCCAGTCAAAGATGTATTTTAGTCATTTCTGGTTTAAATTGAGATCCCTTCCCTTTATAACTCACTTATCCTCCGCCATTCCCAAGTCAAGGGTCGTATATACTGACCCAATAGCATATCTTGAAAACTAGAGCCAATCAACAATTTTAAGCATCATTTTCGTTCTCAGTGACCCAGAATTAGTAAAGTTTGACTACATTTATTTCAGAAGCATTTTGGCTGTAGAGCAGTGATATTACTGATGACTGATCATGAACCAGCAATCATGTGGCTTGATTTTAAGATCCTAATTCGCATTAGGAGGCCTCATAATTTGAATTTATCGTTCTTGCACTTGAAAACTGAGTAAATTGGCTCTGTAAATCATTGGGGGGGGGGGGGGGAATAAAGATAAAGGCCTGCAAATCAATGGCACATCAAGAGAAAGAGAACACACACGTATAATGAAATTGAAAAGCAATAAATTTAAAACTGAAAAAGAAATACTTGTTTTACACAAAATGTGATTAACCTGTGGAACTCACTGCCACAAAGGATTATTTAAGACAAACATGTGAAGTCTTATTGCCCCTCAAGTCACTCATGCAGGGCATGGGGTTTTAGGCCTGGTCTACACTTAAAACGTAGCTCAACATACCTACAGCGATCAGGAATGCGAAAAATCCACAACGCTGTGTGCTGTAGCTATGCTTGCTTATTCCCTTGGTGCAGATGGAGGCAGGTCAACGAAAGACTGGTTCCATCGACCCAGCTACTATCACTCAGGGAAGTGGAGTTCCTATAGCAATGGAAAAACCCCTTCTGTTTCTGTAATCTGTGTCTACACTATGGGCTTACAGTGGCATATCTATGGTTCATAACTGTGCTGCTGGAGCGCCTGGAATGTAGACATGGCTTCACATGTGATTGGTTTGAGGCTGGTTGGTGTGTGCACCCGGGGGATGGGAGTCATGGATGTATGGAACTCTGGGTTTCTCGTGTTGTGGTTACTGTTGTCTATTTGCACTGAAGTTGTGAAATTGTAACAGCATTGTTTTTTCCTAGCATACGTTCCAGTGGCTCTTTCTTTTCTTTCTGTAATAACGTCATCACAACTCCTAAATTGGGCATGGTGGGGAGGGTAGTCCTTGCAAGGAAGTCACTTAAAGGGCAATTTAGCATAAGATGGTTGGGGGAGAAGGCCTCCTCAACCATTTTTATGTGAGAAGAGGTGGGGTGTCACTCTTGCAGAATCCAGAACAGTTGACCATTGAAGGCCGCTGGTGAAGGCACAGCTAGATTGAGGGGGACCTGAGTTCTTGGTACAACAGCCTCGTGTTTCCGTCTACACATTGATATGTATAAGCGGTTAGCCTGGTGGCCACTGAGAGTACCATAGTCTGGTATGCCAGAGCAGGACCAAGTGTTCCTGGATTTTGTGATTGTGGGAATTGGGTTAGGTTGGGTCCCATCCCAATAGTTTTGAGGACTGCCTCCCACAAAAGCTATGTCAACACTGCACTGCAGCACAGACTATAGGGAGTGAATTGCAGAGGGCACCCAAGTGTTGTGATCTGCAGTGCTGTGTGTGCACGGACAAGTTTTTATTTATCTAAAGAAAGGCATTTTCAGTATATACTTGTTTATTTCAGCATTATATTTGTGTGTTTCACTTAAAGTGCCTTAACTATGTAACAGGCTTTTTTTTTTTTTTTTTTTTTTTGAATAGCAATGCACTGATGTTCATATGGTGAGTGACAGCGATGGAGATGACTTTGAAGATGCTACAGAGTTTGGAGTTGATGATGGAGAGATGTTTGGTATGGCATCATCTGCCTTGAGGAAATCTCCAATGAGTAAGTATTGAAAGTTAACATATGTAACACTATAGCGAAAGCGACAAGAACTGAAGTATTTAAACAGTAATAGACAAGAAAATATCCTTAATTTCCCTATTGATCCCACTGGTTATTTTCTAGGGTACTGTTAGAAGGACATGCCATATTTCTGTGCCTATTTTATTTTAGTTTTGCGCTGCTTAGTGCTACTTTCACTGAACTGAGAAGAGACAAAGATACAGCTTAGAATTAATGCATTCTGGACACAATCTATAGCAGATGCTGAAAAAAGCCCATAATGGGAACATTAGAATTGCTATACCAGTTCAGTCTACGATTGCTTTCTCTGACACTGACTAATAGTGGATGCTTCAGAAAGAAACCTGATTATGGGCAACTATGGGATTATCTTCCCAAAGGGGAAATTCCTTCCTATCCCTATGTGTTTACCCTGTGCCTGAAGCATGAAAGTTTAACTCCGTCATAAATGCCTATCTAATGTAACTGTGGATTTTCTTTTTAGCTATGTAAATGACTAAGCTTTTCATGTTAATATCCAGTGACAATGAGTTCCCCATGTTTATTTCATGTTGCACAACATATTTCCTTTTATCAGTGTTAGCTTTTTAATTTCTTTGGGTGATTCTTTGCTCTCATACAAGAGTAAGTAGGAGCACCTGGTTATCTTATCTGTGCCATTCATTATTTTATATACATCTCTATCAATATTGTTGACTTTAGGGTATGTCTACACTGCGATTAAAAAACCCACAGAACTGAGTCTCAGATCCCAGATCAGCTGACTCGGGCTCAAGCTGCGGGGCTATAAAATTGCAGTGTAGACATTCAGGCTTGGGTTGGAGCCCAGACGCTGAGACCTTCCGTCATCACGGGGTCTCAGCACCTGGTCTCCAATCTGAGCCCGAACATCTACACTGCAATTTTATAGCCAGGCAGATCGAGCCTCACGAGCCCAAGTCAGCTGATCTGGACCAGCCACGCCTGTGCCACGGGTCTTTTATCACAGTATAGACTCATCCTTAAGGGCTTCCTTAGGGTCTAATTATGTCGCTAAGTCAGAGTGCTGAAATTTATTTTAAGATTATTCACAAGTTAAAGATTTATCACTAATGAAATGGTTTCTCAACTCTTTCAAGTAGGCTTCTTTATTCTAATGTGTTAGAATAGATCCAAAGAGAAGCTGAAATCCAGATCAGTGATGTGCCACATTACAAGTGAGCTTAGCACTTCACTGTTTAGAATGGCCCTGGATATATTCATGGAAGTACCTGGAAATTCCGTGTTCACCCAAAGGGTCATCCTATCAGTAACCTTTGGTGGAACTTACGAACTTTCCCCCTGGGCACTTAGAAAGTTGTAAATATGAAAAATTAAGGAAACAAAAAAATGATTTTTGTGGTCTGTGTTATTAAAAACTATTTCCTCCAGATGAATTCAATATATATTTGTACTTGTTTTTTTAAGTGCCAGAAAATGCTGAAAATGAAGGAGATGCCTTATTACAATTTACAGCAGAATTTTCCTCAAGGTAAACTTAGACTATTAACTGTGTAATCACTATCTGTCTTTGTGCTGCACTGTAACTATAATTTAGCAGGCAATTCAAGTAAAAGTAAAATAAATATAAATATTTCCTTATCTGGCATAGGCATTTAGGGCCAGATTCTACCTCACTTACCTTGACTTGAGTGAGAGATCATTTGTGGAGTAAGATACTATTCAGTGTGAGTTAAGATGGCAGGTTCTGTCTTTAATTGAGAAGCCACTTGCTTTATATCACTCCTGAATTCCACAAGGGAGTAGAGGGATAACTAAGATACTGACTATAAACAGTAGCATTGTTAAATTGAATGTAAATGAGCTCTTTCTACCTGAAAAACTGATGACTACTGGAAAATAACATACTTAGTTGCCATGAGAGTTTTAAGAATAGCTAAAATAATTACTAGTTAAATGTGTAAACATGCTGCTTTTGAGAATTTTATATACAATATACCTGAAACAATTTACTGTTAAACAGTTCCTTATTTCGCCACACAAGTGCCCCTGCAAAAGGCATAGTGAACCGGGGGTATAGTTTGCATACCATGTTAATTTTTATAAAGCATTTGTGGCTCCTTTGTGATGAAAAGATTTCCATATGTTTGTGATATAATTAAGATGTTATTAAACAAGAATATCACTCAATCAACTAGTAAGAATATAATAGTGAGGAGAAATAGAACTATGATTGAGAAATAGTATTTAAAATTTACATTATTAACTTCAAAATCGAGCAGTTTGTGAGAGCAGGCAGTTGTTATGATAGACAAGTTCATAAGCTCAGCAATCCTATACAAAAACTTCAGAGGGCAGAGGAGATATTTAAGAGTTTAGCCAATGCATGTATTTAAAATTAATTTAAACAGAGCGGAAACTGAAAAAAATTACTTACACTTTATTTTTATTAATTGAATCTTTGTGATTTTCAAATAGATATGGTGACTGCCATCCTGTTTATTTTATTGGGTCACTAGAGGCTGCTTTTCAAGAAGCCTTCTATGGAAAAGCCAGAGATGTAAGTGTGTGTTAACGGTACACTATTTGTATTAGAAGGAAAGTGATAAAAGGGCTAACTCGTACATTTGACACTATGCCAAAAAAGTTCTGATTTTTGCTACATTACTAGTAAGCAGTTTCATACTTTTACGTGATTGACTGAAATGTTCAGCCTGCATGTTATGGGAATGATGGGGATAACTCACACTTGCCAACTGTTCTGTTTTGTCGTGGACTGGCCTTGCTTACATAACCGATCCCAGGCTTTGACGGCTTTGGCCAAAGTTCTAGCAGTCATCTGAGCTTCTAAAGGCTTTTTTCTGTAAGTGTTTGTCTCCTGTCACTAGATATCACTGTTTGGGAGCCTTGTGGCTGACCGTGACAAAGCTGTATATTGGTATCTCTTTTAAATAATGGCGGATACAATCAAATTAGTAAATTTACAATTTTAAGGCCATTGGGGCAGGGAGTGTGCTGCCTTTTGTGTTGGTACAGCATTTACTTAAACACAGAATAGTGTTATAGTTTGGAATTTAAGGTTTCTATTCAGCCAGATAGGCACCTCAGGGTTCTGATGTTCCACATCCATTTGGAAAAGTAGTATTTTCATAAAATAAGAAAGAGAATAGTTGAATGAAGGCCTGGTGTCCTGGATCTAGGAGGGGAAGTACTCACTCACCTGAAATAGTCAACACCTAGATAAAGACTAAAGCACCAATAAAAAGCTTAAGCAGCTTTAATTCATCCTTTAGCTGTCTTGATATTGGTCCCAAAAGAAATGTGCAAACAAAGCATGTTTGTCTCTCTTGAATTACTCATATTGAAATGGTCTATAAGTATTCCTTGTAACAAAATCTCCACTACTTGCTCTAAGCTAACATTTATTTGACATGTTTGCACACCCCAGCAAGTTTCTTGCAGAATAACTGCTAAATTTGGAGTCTAGTTTCATTAATTTACATGGTTGACAGAGCATGGATTGCTCTAGAACACTTCAGTAGCAAAATAAGAATTGATTGTGACTCGTAGGAGTGTTGGATGCTAAAGCATGTTGGCAATGAGGCAAGTGAATCAATATAAAAAGATGCTTGATTTAGAGAGTTCACTTTTGACATCTCATCAGAAGTAGATAAAAGCATATAATTATAAAAACAAAGGGCGTTTTATTAGCTCTCAGAAACATTATTTTATACCTCCAAAGGGGTTTTTAATACAGTACAACCCAACTGAATGTTCATCTTCAAAATACTTTTCATATACTACTAACATGTAGGATATGGAAGATGCATTCTATTTCCAGTATTTTTCCAGTGGGTTCAGACCAGATCCTTACCAGGATTATCTGATATGTTTAGCAATTTACTATTTTTATTACCTTTTTCTTAGAAATGTTGTTTGTAAATAGTGGCTGAAATATTGATAAAGGCTGAACTATTGATTCCTTTTTTTATTTAAACCCACATATTAAGTTGCTACATTAATTTATATCACATTTCAACATTTTGAATTTTAAAAATGCTTATGAAATAAGTAAAGTTTGATATTATTGTACCTTTTTGCTACTGCAAAAAATCTTTTCAATATTGTTTGAGAACTCAAAATGAAAACAAGTGGACACTTTATTCTGTTTTTGATAATTGTTAAGTTTTATAAAGTGACTGAAAATATGACGTTTTAATTAAGGAAATTATTTTAAGAAATTGCAAGCTAAATATTCCATGTTCTAATTTATACTGTGAAGGGCACTTAATTTTGCCAGGGCAACAGATGAGCTTCAAGCAGCAGCATTCTTCACTTGAAGTGAGAAATTGAGTTCCAAGAGTAAATAAAAACAAGATTGAAGGTTTAAATCCTCTGCTAGGCTTTTTGAACTTATATACTCATTAAATGTTTATTGGAGTGGTGGGATTATGAAGGATTTGGGGAGCTTCCATCAGCTGGTATATAGTTAATCACTAAGTAAAACACTACATTTGATAGAGTGTTTCTCACGATGCCACACTCAATCCATCTTAATGAAAACCGCTTCAGACTGATTTAATTTGAGAGCACTTGGCAGTGAGAGTGCTTATAGATCTTAGCCTTTTTCTTGAGGAATTTGCAGTGCTGTCCAAAGCACTGTACAGTCCAGTTTCAGTGACATAGCCATCAATATCTTTTTTCCTATCTCTATTGCTGACATTTTCTGAAAAAAATCCTAAATTTATATAAATTTGCAGCCTTCTTGCAGAAATATTTGAGAGATGATTTTATGAAAGGTATTTACCTAAATCAGTTTGCAGTTACTTTGAAGTACTTTTTAAAATAATTTTTAAAACATTTTGTTATCAAAATAGGTATTTTAATGGAGGCTTTTCTATAAATCTTTCACTTGCATGTGTCAGAAAGCAGAGACATTTGATACTTTGTTTCAGAAGACATTAACTGAAAAAGAACTTTAATTTTAATATAGCTAACTCTGCCTCATTTTTGACTAGTATTTGCAGTTTGGCTTCTTGACTTTGAGACTTTAGATAACTAATATTATGTTTACTTTTAAAGCAACTTCTTCCATGACAATCCCTGTACTCGCTGTGAAGGGGAAAAATATGCCCAAGTTCTGTCTTGATTTACATCCTGTATATAGATCTGCCCACAGTATGTCGAGTCAGAATTTGGCTCATGATCTTCCCGTAAAATGCCATGAAAGCAACTCTGTACATCAGCTAGTCCTTTGTGCTCAGTAGAAACGTAGCAAATGTACAGCAAGCTGTCTTCCCATTAACAACTGATGTCCTGAGGTAGTTTCTAAATCTGGCTGCATGTTCTGTTGTGAGTTCACAAGAAACTTACTGCATATTCAGTACAAAAGAAAGACATTTAGTTTATCAGTTACTGTGTGAGTGTGGTGAGGGTGAGGAAGGAAGACGTGGGTTTATTAAAACAAAAAAAGAAATATGGTTGTATAAAACACTTTAGTTTATTCCAACCCAGTGAAGGAAATCTCCATGGTATCATTTTGAGTTTCCGGCCCTATATATTATAGTTTTAAATAGCTACTGTATAGGAACATAAGAATAGCTAGACAAGATGCTACAGAGGAAGTGTTAAAACCCCCCATCATGGACAAGTTCGTAATTACATACTTATGTGGAAGTTTATTCCTAGCTTCAAGCAGTTAGTGGTTGACTTACGTTCTGCAGCATGAGGGAATCCATTCCTTATAAATGTTTATCATGTGTAATGAATAACTTTGGGTGGTACTGTTATTTATGTGTGTCTAATCTCTCTTTTTGCCTCCCACTAAGTTCTTTGCTTGAATAATTAAAAATTAAAGTATTTCCTTTTTATCAATGGTTGCTTGCTTTTCAATTTCAGTGGGTGATTCCTAGGTCTTTTATTATGAGAGAGGGTAGAGGATCATCTGATTTACCTTCTCAAGAGCACTAATTTTTATATACCTCTGTCAGATCACCTCTTGTCTCTCTCAATTTCTCTCTCCACCCACTTCTAATAGTTATATTAAATATCACTCCTATTGCAGATCCTTAGTGGCCCCCTGCATTGCACGCACTCGTTGCTTCCTGACAATTAGCCACTTAGACCAGCACTTTGATTTCGATCTCTTAGACAGTTTTTGATCTATGGCAGAATTTTAACTCTGGGTACTTAATTTCCATAATAGCCTCCTATAATTTGACTTTTTGCAAGTCCAAATAAATTGGCCCTTTCTCATCCACCAACATGCTGATTCGCTGGAAGAATTGTAATACACTGGAGCAGCAGAATATTCCTTTACAGAAGCCTTCCTGCTGTCTATGTGTTTTACAACTTGGTGTCTCATTGGCATGACATAATGGAAATTGTATATGTGGACAACATGCCAGCCTTATCAGAGATTAGCCAAAGAGTTGCATCTCACATCCATCCAAACCTAAACCATTTCTTTCTATTAATGTCATAGTGTTTTTTATAATTGTGGTGAATTTTGTCACCTGATTGCTGTTGTGTCTATATATTTGATCCTTATATATTTACAGTCTTGTCTTTCTTTTTAGTTTGACTCCAAACATGAGTTTATTTGCTCTATATTTCATGCTGTAGTATGGTCTTTGTTTTCTCCATTATATTTCAATAGAAACAGTTCTTTCTTGAGGCTCTTCTTCTTTATCTTTGTCTTTTTAAAAAAATTCTGTATTGTATTATTAGCCTTTCTTGTAATACAATACTTATAAGATTCTCTCTATATATGACAGGTTTCAGAGTAGTAGCCGTGTTAGTCTGTATCCGCAAAAAGAACAGGAGTACTTGTGGCACCTCAGAGACTAACAAATTTATGCATCCGAAGAAGTGGGCTGTAGCCCACGAAAGCTTATGCTCTAATAAATTTGTTAGTCTCTAAGGTGCCACAAGTACTCCTGTTCTCTCTATATATGATGATTAGTACTATATATTGTACTATGTGAAGCATACTTTCGTTTTGTTGAGTTGTAATTTGGTGTGCAGAGAGTAGAGGAGTGATGAAGTCTCTGTGTGTATGAGCCAACTGTTGTTCTAACCCATCTGCTGTTGTGATTTAGGCAGCAGCAAAAGTTGGAAATTAAACCTTTGATTCCTTCTGCTTACTGCTCAGAATCCCAAGTCCATACCTGTCACCTTTTCAGAAAGAAATCCCATCCTGCTGTTGCTAAAAGAAAGAGTCCTTACTTTAGGAAGGGTTATATTTATAACGGTTCTAAGTCAAGTGGAAAGCTATTATAGAACTTAGAAAATAGCGTCATCTGTCAGTGCAGCCCAGGATTTGGTTAAATTGTCCACAATCTGCCTTCAGTATGACTAGCTATATTGGGCCTGATTTTCAGAAGTATTGAGCACCAGCAACACTATCTGAAGTCATGGGAGCTGGAACTGCTCAGTATTTTTGAAAATCAGGCGTGTAGTTTTCTCACCTTATAACATCACCTTGGGCTGTGAGTGTGGGTAGGTAGATTATACTCATCTAAGTTTAGACTGATTCTCCGTCTTTCAGTGACATTGCTT